TTAAGTTAAAAGCTGTGTCTGTCTACACTTAGCTTTGCAGTGCACCTTTTAACATTCGTGCAATGCATCTGCTAGTTAACGAGCTCGGTATTCACAGTCGTCCTTCACGTCTTACTAATTCAGCCAAAATCTCAGCATTTTTGCAGCGTTTCGAAAACTTCAAGACTCCGTCACTTGTAATTGTAATTTCTCTGGTAACTTTTGATGTCACCTGTAAGTGTGTCAGTGCTGCTGCTACTCGATTTCTGCTAATATGAGTGTGTACAGGGCGAATTCCATTCGGAGAAATACTGAGTGTTTACAGATGTGTCAGAGCCGGAAGCACTGGGAAATGATCCGGAGTTTCGCTCATTAAGCGCCGAACATAACTCATCGCATGTTGCCGTAACAACATATCCAGAAAACGGTGATGATGGAATTCAACTGAGTGGTTTGGATACTCAACATGTGATACTGTTGTATCTAGTGCATGCATTGCCGTATGCGCAGAGTGCATTTAACTGGCTTTTCTACGCATTTCTCAATCGTAACCTGCGCCACTCATCCACATACGCATCTGCGTTACGCTCATCAATGTTCTGCTATGCCTTTCGATCAGCTACGCCTTCCACAACAGTACCCTGTACGCAGAATGTCTCCGTATGGCGAGTTACTAATAATCGGCCAGTACCGTTTCATCACCACGTTAGTGATCACGGTCAGCCTAGAAGTGAGGATCGCCTCAGATTATGATATGCCGCCTGCATAGGGACATAAGTTACGGAAAATTACATTTGCTTAATAATATTCTGAAATGGATTTCTGAAGGTAAATTCGTCTAGTTATAATTGCCGTCCAGGTCCTTTCCTGAACTGTCCTGGATAGACCAGCCGTTAGTGGCAATTCATCCTTCTATACCAAACAATTATTTCACCATTGCATTAAAAAACAGCCGAATTTCAACAATATAATGAAAAGTAACGAGATTATAGTTTACCGTTATAATGAAATTAAAAAGATCGAAAATTTGGCAGCCTTTTGTATGGATCTTGTGGTCCAAGTTGTGTGAGTAATTGTCGGAATTTGTTCGTAGCACTGGTGGAGCGAAGAGCGGTGCAGAAAAAAGCAGATTCTTTTATTGAAAGTAATACAGATTTTCACAGTGAGTGAATCCGCAACAGTGATTTATTAAATATTAAGACAGAAGTTATAATGGCTTTCTAGACGATTTGTCGTTCAACTGTTTTGTATCAGTGACATCAAAGTGGTTGGAACGTTAGGAATGAGGTAAAAGTGGAGGGGAGGAGGGGGTATGGGAGGTACAAAATCCTGTTTAGTTTTGTTTTTTCTTAGGAAATTATTCTGTTTTTTAATTACTCACTAATTTCTTACGAAGAAAATGTTTTCTTCAATCTAAATGTCGTGCTGTTCCAAAATTTTACGAATTTGTGTAAAAAAATTACAAATCTTATAATCTTGACGCACTATTTCTAGAAATTTGTTTCCGTTAACTTCTCCATGTGATAGAGATGATATTTGACTACTGTGAGTAGCGGAGTGCAAGAGCTGCGCACAGCCACGTATTGTGTGTAACTGTGGGATCTCATCAACATCAAGGACTTTACACTGACAGTCTGCGTGCTTTGGGGGCTTGCAGTGACTCCGAGGACTTATTAGGGTTATGTCTTTCATTAGTATAATTCGAATTCGAGAAATGCCTTCCAGATACTTACAACACTTTGTTTTTATATGTGTTGTTAGTAGAAAATGAATAAAAACTATTTGACTGGGCCGCCCTGGAACCACATCAAAGCACAAGATGGCGAATCCCGGTAAGAAATGACGCATTTAATTTTTTCCTTACCACATCTAAAAGCTGTTTAAAAAATTAATTTTTTTGATTTGCCTCTTCCTTCTACTGAAGACATGTCAGCACTATGAAAACATAAAGGTTTTCTGCACTTTAACAAATGCAAAAAACGCATGAAACATTATGCATGTGCCGCGACTGCGTCAGTAGGCGAAGCCGGTATTTGTGAATGTGTCCAGCCAAGGGATTCAAGCAACCTTGTAGTTGTTTTTTTCTGCTTTTCCAAAAAATGTACTCAGTTGTCTTGATTTTTCTGGCTGAAGTGGCATTTTGTGTGTTAGTGCTCTGCTAATTTTTCCCAATTTGCAGTTCCCTGCTTCGTTAACGTTCTGGTGTTGTTTGCACCTAAGGTGTATTTCGAAGTGAGGGCGACCGCTTTTCCTTTGACTTTCACAGGGCATCTTGTTTACAATGCAGCACAAAAACGTGCTGTTTAAAGGTCTTAGATCTGATGTTATGAGTGTGAAGTTTTTTTTTAAAAAACGGAATATGCAACCAAAAGTTGTCTTTTGAAAGATGCCTTCAGTTGGACCGATAAGCGCAAAACCGGCTACTGAGATAATTAAATACTAAGTTAGTTGGCTCACCCATTATGGCAAAGTACGGTATGGGAGCTATTTGGTTAAGTGACTTCAACTTTGAGGTGTATTTTCGCTCTTCTCATCTCTAGCCGGGTAAGTGCGATTTTGATCTCTCTATGGAGGATTTGTTCAGACATCGACTGATTCACGTTGTAAAGATACCACCGTGGTTGCATTTATTATCTATCCGGCTGCATCCAATTCGTTCAATGTTGAGTCACTGAAAGGACAAGCGGTGTGCAAGCAATTGCACAGTACTATATCACGAATAAAGGATAATTTGGCGTCCAGAATGTTTGAGGGCTGCTTAAAGTTTGTCGTTTCGTGATTTTCAAGTTTTTTACATAATTCAAGCGCGTTTCATGGCCTGATTTTGTCCGTTTGTTGTTTGAGTTCGATGTTCGGAGCTGAGAAACTAAAATTTTGGAGCATACTTCGCAAACATGTGTGAGGTCAGAAACCCAAAATTGTCTTTTGCGTAATTGGTGAAAATGGTCACAGGCTTTCGGCGTTCGGTCTGTTCTGTTGCAGGCTCAGAGCTTCTGTTGCAGCTGAATTTGTATGTCAAAGTAGAGAAATATTCAAAATCCAAGAATCTAAAACTGTCCGACTTTTGCAAGCATAGGCACATCTACCCCTTGCACTTCCAAAACAACAGTTCTTTAAAACATATGATTTTTGTCTGCACTGCCAATTTCCATTAGCCAGGTGGGAGGAAACCTTCTGAAATTCACTTTAAGTAAAAATATTCTTTAATTTATTTCGAATTGAATATGCAGCTTTTGCAGAGGCCATATACCGAATATGGAGGAGCTTCTGCTTCCGGATGAACGCATTCAGCTGAAACGTTGCATATTAAGCGCAAAAGTAAGTTTAATATATTTATAATGTCTATGGATGCTGAAACCAAGATGTAGGGGTGAGTTCTGCAGAATTCATGCAAATAAAGATCCACTGTTTGTTTACATTTGAGAGTGCTTACATTTAGAAATGCGAGGACTGACGGCTGTTCCTACCTATCCTGGAAGTTAGTGCCACCGTTGTTGCTACATGATCTAGAGTTCGCCTACTGTGATTCTGGCATCTGCTAAAAAGGATATAATGGGCTTACTTGGTTTTGAACAAAGTGAAAGCTTCCTTTCAGTTTGACTGTTATTAGAAATAATGCCATATCTTTTTCTGCATTTGTTTCTGTTTGCTCAGTTAGCTTTTCCAAATCCAGTTTGTGAAGTTCTGAAACATTTAAATAAAGACGCTCATGTTTATATGTACGTACTACTAGTCACACAACACAGCTTCTTAATTACTTTGGCTGGAATATCAAAAATTTAGTTGCTAATAATTTTAGGAAAGTGTCCATTTGTTTATGAAGCCGAAAGCCTAAAATTAACTCACATAGGCACACACTTTATATCTTATCCGTCGGCTTCGAGTCCAAATTCAGACAGGGTTCAAAATAAAGTGATGTATGAGAAACTTTGGAATCGTGCATTACAGTACTGGCTTTTGACAAAGGTCCGCACGTCCAATTGCCAACTTTTTTTTCTGGCTCACGCGTTGATTCAGTTAAAAAAAGTCATATAGGGTGGGTCAGTTAAAAACAAGCAAAACAAAAAATTTTTATTTACCAGTTTCTTCACTGCTTTAACATCTGGAACAATCTATAGCAAAAAGTTATGACCTCACTAATCTCCTGGCACGCATCACTAGTTGTTGTCATAAATGTGTTTACGTACTGAACGAATAAGAATTTGTAAATATAATTTCTTGAAAAAATTTCTGCATTTTCTGTCCCTCCTTTTCTGCACCAAATTGGCTGGTAACTCATTGTTTCTCTGTTCCTTTTCGAGCTTTTTTTTTCGCTGAATTCAGTGAGGTTCTTTGAAGGTTCCCATAAGAGCAGAAGTCTATGTCTTAAATGTTCATCGATGATTTTAGCGCGATGTTTTACCGCCAATCTGTACACATAATATGCTCGATGATGCTGGCGATCCCGTACTTAATGCATTTCGGCGTTGTCAGCTTATCAACCAGTCTTCAGATCGCGTCAAAGTAAGTTTTGCAGGTAATGTGTCCTGGGCGGTAGAAGAGC